CCTTTTTTTTTTTTTTTTTTTAAAGTGTTGATCTAATTAGAATGCATCGGTCAGGAAAAGTAATGAGGATTTAGTGCTTCACAAAGAGGTGGGGATTGTATCAGAAAATTAGCACAAGTCTTTGGAAAATAATCAGGCCCATGGAGAGGTACCAAGCGCCTCTGATTCCTGCAAACCCGGAGCTGCTGATGTTTCCCTTCCGGGCAAGACTCTCAAGTTGAGAAATTCAAGTGAGGATTTGGAGGCAGTTGCTAAATAAATGGGAACACACCCAGGAAAGACCCAACTGGAGGGGAAACGCTGGCACAGCGACGAAGGGATTTTTCAGCAGGCAACGGGAGCCAAAATATTCACAGTGATAGACCAGAAGGAGCCACCATCTCAGCTGGTCCTTGGATGAGGATGACGATACAACGGCAAATTTTTTCTAATTATCCAGCTAAGCAATGTCAAGTGCCTGAGTGCTTTGACTCATTGAGTATATTTGAATTTGCATAGGTAAGGCTTAAAAAAAAGGGTGGAAATACTCTATATCCATCAGTTGAGTTTCAAGAGCTGGGGATGCTCCAGAGAGCTGAAGAATCACGGGATCAGTGTTTAAAAAACAGCAAGTGGGATGATTTCGCTAATTATCATACTATTAATCTCATGCTGGGGGCAGGGAAAACAGCTAAGGGGCCACTAATTTAGGAATTTTTAAAAAAATTCTAAATAATGGAAATGTGATTAATATCGATGAACACGGTTTCTCAGAAAATAGGTTTTCTCAGGGTATGGGAGGGGCATTGATCATTTTATGAGCAGATACACCAGGTTGGTCATGAAAGCAAGATATTTCCATTTTTTTGCAAAGTTTTTTACCATGGGACAGCCTGCTTGAAAAAAAAAAAGGATATGCAATAACAAGGATGTCAATCAAAACTGAGACGACAATGGCCAGAGCTGTCAAAATGTCATCGCGGGAGAATCGCGGTTGGATTTCCCTGGTGTATTCAAAAAGGATGGCCCTTGGCTTGGTGTTATTTGTACTTTCTAAGATGAAAAATGCAAGAATTTCTGGAAATGCAAAAATGCCTGGAGGTGAGCGAGAACCTGACAGGTGCATGATGGGAAAATTGGGCAAACGGAGGCGTTTCCACTGTTGCTGAAATCTCGTGTCACCAAGTCTGGAGATGACTCCTGGTGTTGGCCAAGTTTGGATGAAAAGTTAGGGTTTTTTCCTGTGTGGTGAGCCTTCCTTGAACCGTCAGTACCTTGTAGACATTTTCCTACCCTGTTTTCTCCATCGCCTTCTCATTTTGTGCTCTACTTTGTTTTGCGGAGGAGTTTTAGCCTCTTTGGCCTGCAAATCCACCAAGCAATCTTCCATTTTTCTTGGTTGTTTTCCACTTGGCTTCATTCCTTTCCCTTGAGTCCTCATCGGACCCTTTTTAACTCCCTCCCTTCGTTTAATGAATATTTTTCAAGTTTTTCAGACAAGGAGAGGAGAGGGGAGGTGCTTGTTGCATGGGGAGGCGGGGGAAGCCAACACTTAAAAGTAAACCAGTTCACCTTTCCTTCGACATCGAAGTGGTCCTCGCTGCTCTCCAGTTGACTCCACTTGCAGGAAAAAAAAACCACCGCAAAGCCAATCATACTGGGAACCACAGCACTGCCAGGGACATTTAAATTGGATTAAATCCAATTCATCCATCCACGAAGGGGCTCTACGAACCTTCTTACACGAGTTTGAGTTTGGCCAACTCTTTCTCAGCAAACTCGCAGGTTTCTTTTTTCTCCAGCTAACCCCAATTTTTCCCAGCTTTACTCAAGCACAAATAAATTTCACAAAGTTAGGATAAGACAGCAATTTTTACGCATGCGTGCCACCCAAAAATAAATTGCTGTATCATAAAGCGCAAGGGGAAGGACATCAGCCCAAGTAGCGCTGAATTTTGGCACTTATTCACACTTGGGCACTTGGTCTTTGACACTTGCCTTATTGCGAGATAAGGGGTTTTTTTTTGTGCGACACAATACGTACCAGGTCTTTTTCTTCATTAAAGTGACTTTTAATTCGGAGAAATCGTGTTTTGCCATAGAGCCGCGGAAGGTCAGTGCCAAGATGTGGATCTGCAGAGACACCTAGTGATACATTTTTTACACTCAAGTTTCAAAATTGCCGGAAACATTTCAACTTCTTTGAGTCCTAAAATATAAAACAGTTTTGCAGCAAAATCACAAGCGTAATACAATTTGGCTGGCATTTGCGATCCAAGGCAATTAGTATGCAAAAATATATTTTTTAAATCTTCTTGGAGATATCTGTATTTATTTTAAGGCAGAGCCTCCACTTTCATTGGGTACCCTGGTTTCACAGTGATGTTGCAGAACCATGAATTTCTTCCGTACCTTTTTCTAATAATTACCAATATTCTGCCTTTTTGGACACCACTCAGCTGGTGTTTTGGGACAGTTTTCCTCTACGCCACCAAAAAAATGCAATTTTTGTCGTCATAAAATGCTGTTGAAAATGGCTTTGACCACTATATCTGGAAACGGCAGTTTCTTGTTCCCATTTTCCAATATCCCAAATTATTTCTTCCCAGTGCACTTCCAAAAACGGTCTTCTGGATGCCCTTCTTTTGAGGAATCATGGAAAAACAAGGCAGGAGAGGAAAGCTGGAGGTCTTCAGGCTGGTCCAAATCTCTGGTCACCCCTGGCCGTACCTGACTGCTTTTTGAGGTTCTCCAAGAACCACATTTGGTTTTATATGAATATTTCCACTGTGTTTGTTAGCCAGACGCTTAGCAAAAGCCAAGTCCAAGTGCATGCAAAAGCAACCGGTTTTTGCTTTCCGTACGCTGGGAAATCCTCATTTTTCAAATTGAAACCCATTTCCCCCAAAAGGCTGGAGATGGGGAAGGGATATTAAAAAAGAGTACAAGTATTTTATGGTCGTATTTGCATTTTTTTATTAATTTAGCTATGAAAAGGAATGTCTGGGAGGCGAAGCAAAAATTCACAGCAATTGCAGCAGAATAGCCAGATAAATAATATTCAGATCGTCAATGGAGAGGACAAAAATAACATGTGGCAGAGGCGTCGGTTGCAACATTTTGGGCTTGGCATCATGGGAGAGGAAAATGCAGCAAGGGATTTTAATAGCAAAAGCATGCAGGGAAATCAGAGTTTATTCAGAACCATTGCGCAGGCAAATCAGTGGTGACTGATGGGGAAAAAGCTGATAGAAGCATGAATGTAATGGGGAAAATAAAAAAGAAAAGGACCAAAAATGACATTTTTTTCCCCTCAGCAATGGGAAATGCATTGACGTGGACACAAGGGTACCCTAATTCCCCGCTGAACGATGGGCTCGCATCATCTCTTGATGTAAAATTAATTGATTTGTGTGTTCAAATTACCATATCTATAGTTTTATTGCAAGGAAAAGAGGAGCTATGGCTTTTTCCGGCCCGACCGTGTTTGCGTGGTCACCTTTTCCAGTGTCGTTGCATGTCGCTAGTCCAGAGAAATCCTCTTTTCTTAAGCCAAGATATAGGTTTCTTGAAGAAATGCATCAAAATTAAGGGAAATTGAATAAAAAGGTGAAAAAAAATCCCCTTTGTTGGCATTTTGTTCAACAGTTGAGAACCAGCCGGACATGAGGAAAGTGATGCAGAATGGGAAAATGGGTAGGAAAAGGGGAAAAAAATATTTTTATTGCGAGAAATGAGTGCAGTTTTATTTCCATTACAGCTGGGCGAATTAGAGATATATCGTCATCTTGGGCTTATTTTGAAATGGTGATTTTTCTAAATATTATGGGCATAACGCACAAAAACCCTGCCCATCTGGGAGGTCGTGGTACATCGCCCTGTATTCCCCTGTATCCTCAATTTCAGCACCCTTCCCTTCCCAAAATGTTGCATTAAATACGCAGATAATCATTCAATTTGGGCTTTTTCCAATTGCTTCTCACATGCAAGAGCTGCTCTCCAGAGATGGGGTTGATAACAAGATTACAGCTCGTGGCTAAAAAAATGCCCATTTTTGCAAGAAGTTAGTTTAAAACTGCAAGGGATGATATCAAATTGGGTTATATTATTATTAATTTCATTATTTTACTATTATTCTGACACGGGGAACCCGTGGTGCTTGCCTGGGTTTTAGCAAATGCTGCATCATCCAGTTCCAGTCAAAACACCAAGAAAATAGAAATTTATGGAAAGAAGAAGAAGATCGAAGAAATTCCTACTTCTCTATCTTTTTCTTTTTTTCCTCCTTTTTCCGTATGGGAAATAGTGGCTGCACAAAGAGGACGAGTTTGGGGAAGATGCTAAGTGGGAGCTTTGCAAAGCATAAATCCTTATTTTTCCATCTTTTTTTGCAATTGCAACAAACTGAAAAACCCCTTTTTCTGCAGTTTTGCCTCTTGAACCACCTAGAGAAAAAGAAAAGGCAATGGGGCATATTTATTGGAGGGGGGGGGGAAATTAAAACCTTGCATGCTCCCGCCGCATGTTAAAATTCATGTTTTTAATATTTCTTTTCGCAGGAGATGCTGCAGAGCTCACCCGTGGCGCTGCCGCCCGCCTCCAACCCGCCGCCGGGCATCGTGGTGCCGGCGGCCGCGCTACCGCCGGGCAACTTGGCCATGAGGGCTGGCAGTTGCTCACCCGCTGGCGCAAGCCTTGCCCAAGCCATCGCCCCCGGTGCCCTGCAGATCCCCAACGCCCAGGTAAGACCTTCCCACCTCAAATTTCCATTTTACGCCATATTTTGCACTGCCGCAGCAAGCAAAAACTCCAGTTTCTCCATAAATTCAACCCTTGGAGTATCCTAAATTTTTAATTAGCAAGAAACGTTGATTAAATCCATCTGCTGGGCGCCTTTGAGGTACCTAACAAATTATAGCAACGACCTAACAAATTATAGAAATGCTTATATTATTGCTACATTATATTATATTAAATAATATATACTATATTATATTAATTATATTACGGTATATTATAGTATAGTATAGGATCGGATCGTATTGTATAGGATATGATATGATATGATATGATACATACTGTTGCTATTATATTATGGATCTGGGATCACCGGCATCGCCTGTCCAGTACGGCAATCACAGCACTCATGGGAATGACTCATTTTTTTCCTTGCTGTAAGGATTTTGGGGTATTTTTGAGCCATTTGCTCTGGTTTTGCTGCTTTTTTGTAATTGCAGTTAACTATGTGGTGTTTCCCCGCGTGGCTGCATCCTTGCAGTAAGTTGACAGTTTGGGGTAGAAATGGATTTATAAGGACAACTTGCTATCCCCATTGGCTGTGTTGCCTGTGATCTCTTCCAAACCTCCATTCCCCAGGAATTTGGGCAAAACCCCATCGATTTCTGCTACGCTGCTTCCCGGGGGCAGGTCAGCAAAAATCCCCCCGTGCAAAATTTTTTTCTGAAACGCCCCAATTTAATTGCAGGAGCCCCTTAAAGAAAAAAATAAATGGCATTTGGGAAATGGGTGGCACCTCCCTGGCAGGTTTTATTGCCTGTGCAATGCTGCTTTTTTTTCCTTCTTTCTTTAATACCTCTCCATCGCGGGCTTGAATCTTGCAGGAAAACCCTCCGTGGTGCGAAAAACACGCGCGCAGGGAATATTGGGGCAGGGGGAGAGCCCCAGACAAGCACCTCCGGATGCTCTTCTCGCGCCGCCAGCATGATTTATTCTGCCGGCGCCCAGGGGAATCGCAGGGACCTGCTGGCCTGATGTTTAATTCATCCAGGAGAAGTGTTTTGATGAAGAGCTGGGGGGGAAAAAAAAAAAAAAAATCCCTTTTTAACTCAAGCGCTGAGATTTCAGTTCGGTTCCCGCAACCTCATTAAAACTTCTCTTGCAGCAAGATGTTTATTTTTTACTTTTTGGAGGGGAAAAAAGCACGAATTTTCACTCAACGGGCACGTTTCTCCTCGTGGTGGGAATCAGCTGGGTGAGGAACGCAGGTTTTCAAGGGGTTAATGAGTGGCAGGGTTTTAACCTCAGGTTTAGAAAGTAACTTTTGGGGGGTTTTTGTTTGTTTGTTTGTTTGTTTTTTTAAGGTAAAAGGGTTTTCCCCCTTAATTGCACATCGAAAAAGGTCGTAGCATCGGCACCACAGTCCCCAGCTGTGTCGGTGCCACCGCAGGGAGAAAAAGCCCATTGCCCTTTGCAAAGCATTGGCAAAAAACCAGAGATATTAAATAGAGATCCTGGGGGAAAATGAGGATTTAATGCAAATTTTTTTTTTGAAAAAACGGATTTTGGATGCTCCCTATGAGTTCATGTTTTTTGCACTCGCCCCACTCCCATTTTGTGTTGGTTTTGCTCATTTTTTGTGTTGGTTTTGCTCAGTTTTCGGGTTGCCCATTGCCGTTTTCAGCCAATTCTCTCCCTGTTCTTCTCCCCCGGCAGGTGAACCTGGATCTCACCTCCCTCCTCGACGGTGAGGACAAGAAGTCCAAGAACAAGCGAGGCGTCCTGCCCAAACATGCCACCAACATCATGCGCTCATGGCTCTTCCAGCATCTCATGGTGAGCACCGCAGCCACCAAAACACCCTGCAAAGCTGGGAAAAAAAGGCAAAAACCCCCAAAACCGAACAAATCGAGGTGGTGGTTTGTCTGAATTTATATTCAGAGGCACAAAGTGGCTTTGGTTTTATTTTGGGAGTATTTTGGGGATGACCGTTTTCACTGCAGGTGGCAAAAATACTCCCTTAATGCATGAAGAAGCAAAGAAAACCGGAGGGGGGACTTCCACAAATTATAGCGGATGGGTGATGGAGCGTTTTTTTCCAGTTAACAACTCCAAAATACCGTTTTCCAGCAAGCCGGGGTGTGAAAGCTGCCCCACAGGTATGGTTGTGGCACATCAGCAAGCAGTCGAAATGCAGAATTGCAAAATTGCCCCATTTTGGGGGATGGAGATGTAGGTAGATGGAAGGAGCTCAGAGGATGCAACCGGGATATTTTCATGCAAGGAGATTGCTCTCCCATCAGCGGAGCTGGAAGAAGGGCGGAAAGCTAAAAAAAGCCCCTTTTCCCTGCATAATTCGGCCAAGAAATCCCTCAGAAGCTGGTGGCGAAGAGTTGCGTGAGGGTCTCCAGGAAGGTGGGAGATGCCCAAGGTAGCAGCAAGATGGAAAATAACAGCTCCAAGGAGCAGCCTGGGGCAAAACATGACCCAGGACATGGAGCAGCAGCTGGTTGGGAACTTTCCAGCCTTTTTTAAATGGGAAATTTTTTGATTTATTGCATTGAGGACAAGAACATCGCTGTGTTGGGCCACCATCCCAAGCCGCGTCATGCATCTCCCATGCTTTTGGAGGGCTGGGCTGCAGATTTGCAAGCAGAAAAAGGATTTAGAAGACAGTTTTCTGCCAGGTGCTAGGAGAGCCCCATGGTTTGAAATTTCCAAGACTGCATTAAAAAACTAAAAGAAATTGTGCTTCTACTGGACGGTTGGACCTTTGCTCTCAGCCTGGTCCTCATGGTCAGAAGATGCTTGGGATTCCCCATGAGATTTCTCCATCTGGCAGCATAAATGATGTGGTTTTTAACCTAATAGCTTTGATGCTCATCGTTTTATTGGGTTTGGGAGTTTTGTAACACCAGGAGGAGGAAGGAATCCTGGAAATAATATGCCAAAAATGGAGATACTTTTGCCAAAAAAGAGCCATTTTTAACCACTTTGGCATCCCTGAGGCCCCGGTGGGATGGGGGTCTCCGGCATGACTTTGGGTGGTTTTGTCAAGGAAATCACACTGTTTTGGGGGCAAACAGCTGGAAAACAAGTCATGTGAATCAACACTGGCGCTGGCTTGGGGCTCCGAAAAATGACACATGGGGCTGGTTTGATAATAATTTCCTTTTTGGGGTTGGAAAGGAGGATTTTAGCACAGTTGGGAGGGAGTTGTTGAAGCTTTGAGTGCTGGTAGCCTATGGCAGATGTTTCAGGGTGGTTTATTGATGCACCTGACAAGGAGCGTTATGGGTGACAGTGGCTTTTGAAGCCCAAATCCCACCTTTACCAACAACCATTATTAGAAAATCGCTAATACTAAAAAAAAATAGTATTCTCCTTCAAGGAAAAGCCTTGGATGGAAAGCCTTGGAAAAGCCCTAAGGACACCGAGGAAACCATGATGCTCTTGGATGCCACCCTTAGGCCCTACATCTTGCAAATGCAAGAAGCCACCAAATTTGGGGTGGGAAAATGAAAAAAAATGGGTGTGTGGGCGTGTGTGTGTGTTTCATTTTTTTTTCACTCGGGGCTGCCGTTTTGCACACAGGGATGTCATTTTGCTGCCCCACCTCTCTTTTTTTTTTCCCAGCACCCCTACCCCACAGAGGACGAGAAGAGGCAAATCGCTGCCCAAACCAACCTCACCCTCTTGCAAGTCAACAACTGGTGAGCGCAGCGGTGGCCCGTGCAGTCACCTTGCTGGCTTTAGAAATTTTTTCACGCTATTTTCGTGCTATATAATGCTTTTTTGGGGGGGGGTAACTCGGGCGGTTAGGGATGATTTCTGGGAGACGGGCTTGGGTGTGTTTACTCGATGGCGTTCGTTTGTGATGTCTCAGTGCCCTCTCCTGGCCAACCCAGTATGTAGCAGCCTCCAACTCGGCTGGAAAAATTAATGCAACGGTGTAACAGGCCACAGAAATAAAACAGGGTAAAAGCCCAGCTTTTTGGACCATGCAGCCACTTTCAAAAGGGTTTTACATTGCAACTCATTAAATTGTTATAATGTTCATTGTTCTAACTCAAAACTGATGTAATGACTCTTATTTACTCGAATGGTCTCTGTTTTCCCTGGAAAGGTTCATAAATGCCCGGCGGCGCATCCTGCAGCCAATGCTCGACGCCAGCAACCCGGACCCAGCCCCCAAAGCCAAGAAAATCAAGTCTCAGCACCGGCCCACCCAGCGGTTCTGGCCCAACTCCATCGCCGCTGGGGTTCTGCAGCAGCAGGGTGGCAATTCGGGGACAAATCCTGATGGTAAGGACAAACCCTGATGGCTTCTGCCCTTCCCGGATGGAGTGGCCATGCATTAAATTATGGCCTTAATTGGTAATTAAGGATTTCTAGAGCCCTTTATCACCCTGTGGGGAAAAACATGTTGAAGAAGTGGCTCGTGCAAGAAGATCCTTCCAGTTGGCCATCACAAAGGTGCTGGCAGTGGGGCAGCGCCATCTCCTCAGCACAGGAACAGCCCTCAAGGATCACCCGCTCTGGGGCATCACTTGGGATATCTCCTGAGGTGCTGGGGAGGGGATAAAGGGGGAGATGGGGAGAGGAGAGGAGACAAAACGAAAGAAGTTGAAAAGATGAAGATGAGATGAGAAGACAGATGAGACAAGATGGGAAGCGAGAAGATGAAGAGAGAACAGATGATGAAAATGAAGAGGAGTAGAGAAAATGAAGAGAAGGTGAAGAGAGCAGAGATGAGCATGGAGCAGACAAGATGAGAAGAGAGAAGATGAAGAGAAGGGAAGGTGGAAATTAAGAGAGGATGAAGAGAAGATCTGCCTAACCAATTTGGGCATCTACTTGCTCAGAAATGAAGGTTTCTTGTAATTTAATGAAGATACATTAGCTAAAAAAATTAAGGGTTGGACTTTGGGTGGTGGCTGGGGCAGGTGGGACACCCTACAGGGTGCTCTGTCTAGGTACAGCTTTTCACTTGGGTTATTCTCGGCTTATGCACTTTTTTGTCCTTTTTATATTAGCTGGGGAGTCCTTATTTCTATTTTTTTTTTTTTTAATTTCAGGCTCGCTCAGCATGGACAACCTGCAACCCCTCTCGTCAGCCACGGCCACCATGGCCATGCAGCAGGCCATGCTGGCGGCCCACGACGACTCCCTCGACGGCACCGAGGAAGAGGAGGAGGACGAGGAGGATGAGGACGAGATGGAGGAGGAGGAAGAAGAGGAGGAAGAGCTGGAGGAAGAGCCTGGTGGCCTCCCAGCGGCGCCCAGCGCCGACCTCGGCTTGGACCACAGTGACTCGCTGGAATAGCTCCTCCTGCGCCCTCCCCAAATCATTGACGGCACCGGAAACAAAACTCCCGCAAAAATGCCAAAAAAACCCGGCAAGAACAAAAAACAAAATTGGTGAGAAAAAAGCAAATTGGAGGCGCTGGCAGATGCCCCGGCTGCCCACGGGAGCACGGGGACCACCATGCCGGCGGGTGGAAGGGAAAAGCAAATTGGAGGCGCTGGCAGATGCCCCGGCTGCCCGCGGGAGCACGGGGACCACCATGCCGGCGTGTGGAAGTGAAGGACACATGTTTACAAGGCACATATTGTGGCCAGATTAATTTTTTTTTCAGGTTTTATTTTTATTTTCCCCTTCCCTTCGTTTTTGGTAAGAAAAAGCGTTTTTAGGGGAAGCTGTTTTTCCCCATGCGATGCTTGGATGCTGTTGGGCGACACCAGGTTTTCACCGCGGGCCACCGCGCCCATCACTTGGATTTCTTGGTGAAAAAAAACCCATCCCAACCCCAAGACTGATGCTTTTTGGGTTCTTCCCCCAAAAAGATGATTCACAGGCATAAATATTGGCACGTGGGGGGGGGAAAAAAAATCGGCGAGTGCAAATTCTGCTTCAGGTCGGATCTGAGGAGGGTTTGGCACTCTTGACCCACCGGATTGCCCAAACCTCCCTGTTTTGGCCTCGATGCTGTGGCCGTTTGGTGACTCCGGATGCAACTTTCTGGAAAAGGGAGGAAATTCCCCCAAATCCTTTAATTTATGTGCTAAAAACCCGTCAAATCTGGAAAAAAACCCCACCCCATCCTCGTCCTTAAGGGCCGAGACTGGACGCAGAGTTGGGGCAAAGGCTGCCGGGAGCGACTTTCCCAGGGCGTTTTGGCACCGAGTCAGGAAAAAATGAGGGGAAAAAAGGGTTTAAAAAGTACAGATTTTCACCCAAAATTGAATGGTGACCCCCAGGATTTGCCCAGGTGGAAGGAAATTCAATATTGTTGCTGGAAAGATGGTTTCTCCTTGATATTGTCCACCCGCGTGGGAAAATGGTGGTTTTACCCCAGACGAGCCAGGGGGGAGGGCGGCTCTGCAAAAAACCAACGTATTTTGGGGTGGTTTTTTTTTTAAATGCTAGCAAAAGGGCGAATTTCACCTTAAAATGTGGTGTGGGGGAAATGCAAAAGCAAACCCGGGTGATGCGGGGCAAAAATAATAAAGGAATTTTCTTCTGCAGGTTCCTCCTGTAAATGCAGGTTTCTGTAAGAAGGATCTTTTTTTTTTTTTTTTTGCGGCTTTTTGCCGGTTTTGTCATTTTTTTTGGCTCTTGAAGAGTTGAGGAAAAAAAACAAAACGAGCAGCCGGGGGGAAAAAAAAAAAACGAGTGATGCAATGGGCAGAAAAGCCTATTTTTCGATACTGATCTGGCGTGAATGTAATCTGTAATTTCATAAAGAATTCATTGTAATTTAGTATTAATTCATGGCCATTTATTATAAAGTGCTACGAGATGAGGTTTCGCAGCTGTATTTTATTGGCAGCTTCTTCCTGCGAGCGGAGAAGCCCCCAAAATGGGTGAATAACCCCCCAAAATGGGCAAAACTCCCCTCAAATAGGCAAAGCAGTCCCAAAATGGGTGAATTGACCCAAATCCGCAATTGAGTGATGCGGCGCAAATAGGATTTACACTTCCAAAAGTGATGCCCCCCCCAAATGAGCTCCAATGTGATTTTACCCCAAAATGATGTTCTCTCAAAATGAGTGATACACCCCCAAAATGTTACACACCCCCCTAAAATGAGTCATGCTCACCCCAAAATGAGTTATGTTCTCCAAAAATGAGTGATGCTCCCCAAAAAGGGATGATGGTACCCGAACAGGGCAATCCCCCCCAAAAATGAGTGATTTTCCCTCAAAATGAGTGATGCTCCCCCAAAATGTTACACCCCTCCTAAAATAAGTGATGCTCACCCCAAAATGAGTTATATTCTCCAAAAATGAGGGACGCTCCCTAAAAAGGAATGATGTTACCCAAGAGGGGCAACCCCCCCCCCCCCAGATTAGTGATTCTCCCCCAAAATGAGTGATGTTCACCCCAAAATGAGTTATGTTCTCCAAAAATGAGTGATGCTCCCCAAAAAGGAGTGACCCACCCCAAAATGGGTGATGCTGCCCCAAAATGTTATGCTCCCCGAAAATGAGAGATGCTCGAGATGCTCCCCGAAATTGAAGTTTTTCCCCCCAAAAGTGGTATTTCCCCAAATAATGATATTCCCCAAAATGAGGGATGCCCTCCAAATATGAGCAATGGTCCCCAAAATTAGTGTCTCTCCTCCAAAATGAGTAATTTTTTGGAGCGGTGCCCCAAAAATGATTGATCTTCTCAAAACCATGACGCTCCCCAAAATGTTTCCCCCAAATGGGCGATTCTCCCCCCAAATGAGCAATACTCCCCAAAATGAGTGATGTTCCCCCAAAATGATGCTCTCCCAAACCAGCGATCCTCCCAAAAATGAATGTCTCTCCCCAAAAGCAAGTGATGCTCCCAAAAATGAGTAAATCTCCCCAAAATAAGTGACTTCCCCCAAAATGACTGAATTTGCCCCCCAAATGGATGACACTCTCCAAAAATGAGCAATGACCCCCAAATTGGGGACTGTCCCTCCAAATGAGTGACAAACCCCAAAACTGAGCAATTCTCCCCAAAATGAAAGCCCCCAAATGAGTGATGTTCCCCCAAAATGATGCTCTCCCAAACCAGCGATCCTCCCAAAAATGAATGTCTCTCCCCAAAAGCAAGTGATGCTCCCAAAAATGAGTAAATCTCCCCAAAATAAGTGACTTCCCCCAAAATGACTGAATTTGCCCCCCAAATGGATGACACTCTCCAAAAATGAGAGCAATGACCCAAATTAGGGACTGTCCCTCCAAATGAGTGACAAACCCCAAAACTGAGCAATTCTCCCCACAATGGAAGCCCC